ACAATGCAACAAAACCAAAACCTTAGTTCATCAAACTGGTACAGACAGGCTTCAACTCATTTATTCGTATTAGTAAAAAATGTATGATTTTTCTTTTCTGAATCAATGCTACACTGTACGTGCTTTCTTCAAAGCTTTAACTGCATATGTATAGAGCTTTCTCCACATTAATATGCATTCGTGAGGTTTACACAACAAACTGTCTGAATACAGTAAACTGTCCACACAAAGCTGATCAAATCACCTGTGATAGAGTAGCACGCTAGTTTATGAGAGTCAATACCAGACTGTTCAATACACTAAAGTAGGCCAAACATGCAACACTGCCTAGACATCCATCCACGGTGAACGTACATGTCAGACTGAACACCATTAAGAGTCTGTCCTCAGGGACACTGTCTGTGAGTTACAGGAGTCCTGTTACAGTACAGCAGAACTTGTCTTCCTGCACTCACCTGGTGTGTGGCACACGAACAGGGGCATGTTACAATATCTTCATCATCTTATCTAGTATACTTATCATATGCATACAGCCAGTGTTTAAGTTAAACAGAGTCCTTATGTACATAAGAGCTTCTGTGGTATCTGAATCTAGGGCCCATTAAGTTGTCTCCCAAACCCAAGAAAACAGTTTGAACAAGAGTCATCAGAGCTTGTCACAAGATACAGTGTGACATATATGGCCATGGGCATGTCAATAGTAATTAAATAAAATTATTCAGCTTAAATTTGAAAAAAAATGACCTTGGAGCATCATGACTCACCATGATCATCACAAAGCATTAATCCATATCATGAACCAACAGTGTACTAGGTGACAGGGTGTCATACTTCACTGATGCAAAAGAATCAATTTTCAAAAAGTTATACATACTACTGTTTGCAGTAATGTAACTAGAAAACTACTCAAGCTAGGGATATCTTACTGTCAACCACAAAACAAAATGCTAAATCTGACTGTATAAAACTACAAGAACAAGCCCTACACAGGGCTTGATTTAAGAGATGTTAACCTACCTGCACCAGGTGCTGCCTAAAATACAAACCTAGTTGCACCAGCCAAATTCCAGTTGCACTGTTTTTATTGCAATATGTAATGGCAGAAATATGCTATTTAATTATTTAGATGTTTTATTCATAAGTTTACCCACTCAAACATTGACTTGCACCTGATAACTAGGTTGCACTTTGTAATATTGGGTTGCACCAGTGCAAGAATCAAAGCACTAAATCGAGCCCTGCTACATAACCAGCAAGTTGTTTAGTTATAAAGGAAAAACTGGCTGACAACAACAACCTCTCATCAGATGATCAGCCATTCCACAAGAAACAGAATTTCAGGGGAAAATGGTGTAACTTGGTAGCTCAGACATGCTGTATTTACTGCAATAAACCCAATACTTCAGTAAACATTCAATGACAAGATAAAAAAACACACCTGCAAGTACTGGTAATCTTTATGCTTCTTGACTATAGATTTTTACAGAAAACACAGCACTATAGGAGAAAATATAAAAAAAACATTTGAGTTTCATCAACATATGAACCAAGATTGTCCTCTGCCACCTAAATATCCAATAAGTTCAAGTTGTTGTGTATGGTTTTAATTTTTATTTTCCAGTCTTCAAACGAAAGTCCTTAGTCTGAACATTCTGCTGTGGTGGTCCAATCATGGCCTGTTTGTGTGCCTGTTACAGCTGACTAAGTGTATGTTTAATCATGTATAGATTTATTGAACACTGCAAACCTGCAAACACAGCACCTGAAATATAGGCAATAACCGAGATAATGTTTGTGTCAACGTGGACATTTACAGTCATCAATCACTGCATCTACATTGCAGTATTCAGAAATTCACCATCATTTTTCAGTGTGATTTTTATCTACCTTATGAGGACAGCGCAGGTTGTAATTTATCATTCCTCATCCAGTTTTCATAACGAATAGTTTTCATGTTTTCTTTTTATATAGGGAGAAAATTGATCATGCAAAGCATGTAAAAAATATAATGAATTTCCCCGTTGCAAATGTTTTCAACATGACAGTTATACAACAGGCATTTTTAACACAAAGCTGCAAAAAGCAGGGAAGTTAATCATTTCCTGTATTAATACTTAAAGGAAAAACACTGTGCATACATGAGTGTTAGCAAGCAATAAATCACTGCATGGAGAAGACAACATCTCATGTGCATACTTGGCAAAACATGAAAGAAAGGACAAATTAAATACTAATGTTTGGAGTCAGTGAGAGAGAATGAATTTAAGAATTTTTTATAAATTGTCTAGCAATATCATGTGGGGAGCACCAGCAATGGACTTCATGTATAGTACCTGTGTGAGGAATGGAACCTGGCCCTTAATACTCATCCACTTGGCTACACTACCAACCCACTAATGTCTGTGAAAGCTGGATTTATATTGTATAACTTCATAACAATGTGGGGTTTTCAAAACTGATTACATATAGAAAGCTTGCAAAAGAATGAACATGCCAAACTAATATATTCAGTAAATTCCATTCAAATATTTGATGAGTACAATGAGAAGCACAGGAAACTCTGATCAAACAAAGCCTATGTTGTATGTCTGGATTATTCGGAGATCCCCATCTATCCCAAAACAGGGTCCAGGCAACAAATATATTTACCAAGAATATACAACAGACAGGTGTGTGACTATGTAATTCACTAGGTGACTGGGCTCCCTTTTAAAGTTCCGATTCACCGACCACATGGTATGTAAATGCCACAACAATGGGGTCAGGTATGTCAACATAGCTGGCACTATAGTCTACATTTACAATACAAACGTCAACATTCCTTCATAAAGTAAAGTGGAGAGGAGGGCTGAGCAGACTGCTACTGACAAGCTGAGAGAGACGCTCAAGACAGAACCTCTAACTAATGAATAAACTCCTGAAGTCTCTTGAAAGTACCAAGGATAGTTAAATACTAGCAGGTGCTTGAAGGACTGAAGGTCATATGATTTCACATATTATATATCTAGTCAGTGCTTGATTAGTGCCTGTAGGTCTGTGGCACTGTCAAGTAGATCTTGTGCCAGGCACATAGTTTCAAATTTGCATGGGTGCTTATGGCCAGCAGTAACTTTGCGTCTTGATATATTTGTGACAATAAGATGCAGTATGTCATATGTCTTACCTTGACAGTTTAAATGATATAACCTTAGGATGACACAATAACCTGACTACAAAGACTGTCTGGTTAGGAAAATGAGGATGAAAAGCTTCAGTGATTAAATCATTCAGCTGGAAATAATCAACACCCTCAGTAATAGTGTGCACCCAGGTATTAAGAAAAGTAATGAATATCTCAGCATCTTTATACCATATTTCTATGCCACACCATCATGCTAAATAAGTATTAATCTCATTCTTGTTCCACTGTTGTACACTACAGCTATTGTACAGTTTACAGGGCAGTAACTGGATGAACGCAGCAAATTCACATCAACAAGAAACTGTAACTGAAGTGAGTCATGTTTTTGAAGGTTATGTAAACTAAGGGAACCTATGTGACAAGTATGATAAGGATGAATATATAAGATCACATATAGCCAGGATAACAGTAAGCTGTAGTGTATATCATGGCATATGACACTTGTATTTTACATCATGAACATGGTAGACAAGTGTTACATTTCCCTTGTTATTGAGTTATTGAGAATAAGTGGTAAGACAAATAAGACACCAGTAACCAGTTAGTATATCTGAATTTGTATCTCAACAACTTCTTAGATTTTATACTTTAGTATTCATCTACCATTGAATCTATTTCTATTCAATACATGAACATGAATCATGATGATAACTGTAAGACTGACATTGTCATTGTGTCACAAAAGCAAGGTAAATGTCTTTTACAATTTATATATACATATACTTTACTTATCATTGCACAAACCAAATATTTGTATTTTATTGAGGTGATAAGACAAAAAGTCTTTCTTATCACAGACAAGTGTTACATGCATCTCTTATGATGTTGATATCAACTGACAGTTACACCTATCGCAAATAACCAACAACAGTCTGTGGGCAACCAATTGGCAGAAAACAAACATCTATCTGAACATGTACCAAGCAGAAACTGCTTGATAACCTTTACCATTTTAACAAGACTTTATGAGATTTCAGTCAAGCATGCATATAAACATCCATGTCCCGCGACATTATAGTATACTCACCATGTGGAAGCTTTGGATTATCAATCTACCACATATGCTTATGAGTATCATGAATCGATATTACAAAGTTTTCACACAATCATGATCATGCATCTTCAAACAGCACATGCATGACAATGCAGCAACAACAAGGCAATGATGGTAAGACAAATGGTGTTCCTTCATTGGAACTTCAAGAAATATAACTGACACATCAAATTTAGAAAATAATATTTGAGTGGTAATCTGACTGGTATAAGTTTAGCATGATTGATAGTTAACATAGTAGAAAAGGATAAAGACATCGCTAATCACCAACAAGTCCTAACCAAGAGTGCCATCATGCGATGATAATTGTGTTTAGTAGGGTACCTATTAGCCGAGAGCCGCGATGCTGTATAGAACCGCATCGCGGCTCTCGGCTAGGTACCTATGAAAATATTATTTAAACCTAAATATAACAACTAACACGTTACATATCTGGGTGCAGCCATACAGCTGTAATAATGATGAGTGCGGAGTTAAACAACAAAACAAACAGCAATATATCAGGATACTGATAACTAGCCTTTAGCCAACGCTAATTGAACTCAAAATGTGTGAATCCTAACAGTCCACCTTTCTCTACCAGTAACAATTGTTCATAATTTAAACGGCATCCATAAAGGCCATATTCACAAGCTTTTGTTCGTATTTTCTATCAAATATTCACACGTACAAAAAGACACGTGTACGAACTGTCAAACTGCGTTATTTGTGGTGCTGGCCTAATCTGGACAGGTTAGGAATTGAGCTGTCACAGATGATACTCACAATGTTTTCGCGCACATAGTCGTGAAATAGTTGTTCTTGCACTGATACGTCAGGGTCCTCCCACATGGTGAACCGATTTTGTTAATATGTCCTCAGAAAACAGTCCACTGAATATTTTCACTCCCTCGACATTTCATGTGTGCAATGCACTTCGGCCATTGTTGTCATTTTCCCGATTTAAATAAAGTTTCTTCGATATTCCACGTGACTATATGTCTTAGCAAAACTATTTTAATGTATACATCACGGATGTATAGAACGTACCGTTGTAACATTATTTTTTAAATTTTAAGATAATATTTACATGAGATAAATACCTAAAAAATATTCTAATGCATAACGCTTGAAGAAATATAATCTTAAAGAAATCATTTTACGCCAAAGCAAGTAAGTTGTAACGAAATATGTATTAGCGTACTTATCAATCCCATAATTCACTACGGTGTGTATTAAAAGCACTGCTTCCGGTAAAATGTCATTTCCTCCAAAACAAGAGCCGAGGTAAGACGTCTGATGCAAGCAGTCATGGTTATGTCAATGGATTTGCTCTGTTTCATGGATTCGACGCACATGCGGGAATTATCAAACCAACCGGACTTCAGATTCAAGCAAAGAGAAATTATTCTATAATATCTTTCCATTCAACACTTGTATTGTTTACAAAATTATATAACCATTCATGGCGCTGAAATTGAGAGTGCAATTTTACAGTAGGCACGGACGAGTGTGTCGTTCAAACCTGGGGACAAGTCATGTTAACACTGCAGAATCGTTTTACTGTGATTTGTATATAATACCAAATCTATAGGTTCCTTAATTGGTACTTGTATCCAGTGCGAAATGGTTAAGACACAAAACAGTAAAAGCACCCGAGCTTCTACGAATAACATCACCTGGTTGTGTTGTTATGTTATATCTTATATCATCAGCACACTCTGCTTTCAAAATTTGTAAATTGGCCTGACACTTTTATTACCAAAGACACGAAACAATAAATGTTTATTAGAAACACTTTTTTTGACAGAGCTGTTGTCCATGATTGAATATTTGATTAGGGGTCGGGTAGATTTAATCAGTTGCATATGAATACGAATATCCCATATATACACATATTTTTCTTGCCAAATGTTAGATCTAGTGCCACTTTCATGACATTGTCTAAATGTCAGAGTGTTTTTGTTGTAGGTTTGACATTGTCAAATACACATGAGATTTCTTCATTAAGCCCTCTTGCTTGACAATAATATAAGAACCTATACCAAAATTTGGCATCATAATATGATAAAGAAGTTGTCATCCATAAAGTATAATATCTGTCTTATTATTGATCAACTTCTAAAATGACAATCAAACAGACCTTTTAGTTGTGCTCTGCTTTGCCATATTGAATATAAGTGGATGTATTTCAGATATCATGCCAGGACATACCCAAAACCGTTTTCTCCTCCTATATGGCTCGCAGACTGGCCAAGCTAAAGCCATATCAGAGGAGATTTGTGAGAGAGCAGAAAAGGAGGGACTCCATGCTGAGATGCATTGTCTTAGTCAGACTGAGAAAAAGGTTATTTCATTGTATAAACTTTAGATGTTGTCCTACAATATTTTCAATGGACCTTACGTTATGTTCCGTTTACTCTCATGCCTGTGAAGCCTACAGGAAGATAACTTTGATTATTACTTATAACCCAGTCATGTTAATATGTGTGAATCATCAAGAGTATATTTTCAAATATATTATTATCTGAGACATAATCTATTTAGAAATAGACACTTTAGACCTGTCTATCTCTTTTAAGAATACCCATTTCTGGTGTCCCCTGCCGTGATATTGCTGGAATATTGCTAAAAGCGGCATAAAACCATACTCACTCACTCACTCACTTTTAAGAATATGTGAATTACCCATTCATAGTAACTTACAAAGATGATTAGGTATTGATTTTGATAATTGGCTTTGTGAAATTTGTAATTCAAGCTGTATTGAGGGTGGTGTACATTTCTTATTCATTGACATTCCTGATATATATCGTAACACTGAAAGCATCATTTCGCTAACACAGCTATTATATTGTAATATTGTATTTATATATGCAGCTAAATCGTCTTTCTCTGATCAGAAATTGATATAAATGTGCCAGCTTCCTGTGAAAATGAATAATGTCCTTTATGTAGTCACGGTGTTATGGCCTCCAATACAGAATTTATTGAGACTGTAATCAGGCAATCTGAAGGTTGGGGATGAAGGCCAAATATGATACAGTCCAAAGACGAGCTCCCTCTCCCCTTCGTCAGCCCCTGCAGTATCATGAATAATCAGAGGTTAATTATGCTTGTACCCTAACTAGCAACTTAATTATGTTTGACATAATACTAGATTACATTGAGCACTGTACCGAGTTCTCAACAGCAATGGACACTGTTTTATTATGTGCATAATATTCTTCAAATTATGATGACAGTGTATGAAACAGAAGGTGAAACAGTAAATTTCCATTTTATACCTATGAGCAGCTTGCATGAAATAACTGAATGTGACATAAGGTGTTTTATTCTTTGGGATTTTTTTAAATACAAATATGTTTGAAAATTATTTTTGGTCTGCTTTCAGTTTAACATAGAGAAAGAAAGATGTGTTGTGATTGTCACATCAACAACAGGTGATGGAGAGCCCCCTGACACAGCTTGTAAGTTTGTGCGGAGACTGAAGAAGAAGACACTGACAGAGGACCACCTTGCTGGACTCCACTACACCTTGCTAGGTATGATGGGCTTCACACACTTGATGTTTGCAGGGCTCCAGATAACTTTTGGGGGTGCGAAGTGTACTTACACATCATATTGCAAGTGGAGGTGTAGTGAGAATTTTGAAGGAGTACTGACATGTTTTTGTGTGAGCGAGTTGGTGATGTGGTTTGTCTGGACGATTCATCGATCACTATTTCCAACCATGTATTTGTATTTGAAGACGCGTGAGAAATAACTGAGCGACCGTGTGATGCGCGAAATGTCAGGTCCGACCTGATATAAATAGGAAGTGTAGTTTTTTAGCCAATCAAAAAATAGTGACGTATATCGTTGCATGGCAACGCATGTGATTCCTACTGTCTGGGTTTCCTCATGTGTTAAATCGTGTTTCGCAAAAGAAACTTAATAAGTTTTATCCAAAATAGATTTCCATTTGCACGATACGCACGGAAATTAAATGTTAGACGTACAAAGGTATTTATGTGCGTACACGATACGCTTGAAATCTTATATTATGTCGTACTTAATTGATTTTGAGGCGTACATTACGCGCCTGTACGCCCCTTATCTGGAGCCCTGGTTTGTATGAAATATGATGCCTATAACACATACAACATGAGTCAGTGTTTTGGAGTTTAGTAAACCTTGATACTTGTAACTGACTTGATTACTTGATCATTTGCTGTAGACCTGTGAAATATCAGCTGTACAGGATTTGTGACTTAAGTCACAGACTACACTGAAAATATGGTTTGTGTTTTAGGCCATGCATTTGCTCCATTCGTACACTAATATTTTACATGGTGCACTGTAAAAGTAGTACAGGCGGGTTGTGTTGGCACACTCATGAAATTAAACTTAAACCTGAAATGTATTGCAAGTTTGTTTCACATGTCATCTCATGTTGTGTTGTTTCAATGCTCAGATATAGAGAACTGCTCAGTCAGTGTTGAAGTATTCAGTTGAGTTGCTAATGAACACTGAGATTGTGAATTAATAATAGTTTATTTGTGATTTATTTTAATTATTTTGAAGGCATTTTTAATAGATGTAAACTGTTCAGTAAATGTGTTGAGCAGATCTTGATTTAGTTGGTCTTGTTCAAATTACTGACCTTACCAGTATTAGAAGCCAACAGAACAACCCCCTAACCCCAAAAGAACTTCTTACCCCCTGAAAAAAAAGTTTCCTGTATCCTGTAGATAAGCCACCCCCTTCTACAGACGGTCCTCAAAATTTGGCTTATCTACGGTAATACCGTAATATACGGTAAGTGAATTTAGACCAGTAACTAGCAAGCCACAGCTGTTTGACATAACTCACATTTCTCAATGGCCAATGTTACTGAGGCCATGGACTTACATTTTAGAAATGCTAGAATGAACACTGGTGTTGTAGCCATTTTAAATCTGATAAGAGGTCCCAAGTTTAACCACAGACTGATTGATGTAATATGTTCTGAAGACACACTCAGGTATCAGTTACAGTACGAATCTAAACTGCTGTTCTTGCTGCAGGCCTGGGAGACTCCAACTACACCAACTTCTGTAACTGTGGGAAGACCCTTGATCGGCGTTTGGAGGACCTCGGTGCTGTCCGGTTCTACAACAGTGGCTGGGCAGATGATGCTGTTGGGTAATAGTTGTACATGTATTCAGTTTCCAGTGTTTTGAAGTTCATAACTGCACTAAAATCCCATCATGCTTTCGTCTTTCAGTTGTTCGAAAGTTCAGATTATCTTTGGCTCCTTATTGACAGTGTCTACACACAGACAGACACACAGACAGACATACAGACACACAGACAGACATACAGACACACAGACAGACATACAGACAAAAATTGTATTCAGTTTCCTGGATGCCAAAAATCATTGAATTCAGTTTGCCCAAGACAACATATCCTCTCGGCCATGAACTCTCAAAGAGTAGAATGGCTTTCTAAACGGTAAACTGTTTTGTTTGTCTTGAGCAGGATAGGTATAGCTTGGTAATGAATGCATGAAATTATCTCTGTACATATCTGCTGCTTCTACGTCTGTGTTCATGTATGTCCAAGACAATGTATCTCTTTGTTATGTGTTTTCAGTTTGGAGGTTGTAGTGGAGCCATGGATTGATGGTTTGTGGGCTGCTTTGAGAACATTTTTGGATTTACCAGAACCTGATAATTCAGAAAGATCTGAAGTTGTTCCATGTTGTGAAAACTCTGATAACACCTCTAGCCTGTCAGGGAACACAAGGAATATCCAGTCGAGTCGTAGTCAGAATGGGAATACATCTCTTGAATCAACAGAATCTCAAGTCTCTAGCGCTACTGATCTGTCAAGGGAGACAACTGTGACTGATTCTGTGAAAGCCTTGTCTTTAAATGACAATGAGAATAATCGTATAAAAAGCTGCAATACACCTTCACATACCCCAGAGGTTTTGATTATTGATCAAACTAATTCACTCAACAACAGAGATAAAGAGAATTCTTTAGCTCTTCAGAATGGGACTGAACCTTCAGCTCAGAGTGTCTCTATAGAAAAGCAGACGGTCACATCCACCCCTGACTTAAAGCAAGGTGACAGTTCTGTGCCAACCTGTGTTCCTAGTCTCTGTGTTTCTGTGCCTCCACTATGTGAGAGTGGACTGTCTGTCCCAGCTCTGCCACCATCATTCCTTGCAATCACCTACATGCCGGAGAATACATTGGTAAGTGAACTGTGTGGACCTCCTCTAAATTGTTTCATGTTTTGACCAGACACTTTTTGTTTCTTGCCTAATAATGATGATGGGTTTTTTAATCCTTTTCAGAAAGTGAGATGTAAATATAATACTTTCGAGGTTCCTTTGTGTTTTTTATAAAATGTACCAGAATATGTTAATTTGAAAACATTAAGGCATGTTTAATTCTCACTTGAAATTTGTGACTAATGTAAAACTGCATAATCATTTCAGGATACATCTTTGTTGCCGATGCAAAATGGCTGTAAGTTTCCATCTGCTTCAAGTGATGTCTCCATGGTTACTGTTGAAGATGCTCAAGTCCTCACTAGTGCGGATGCTGTCAAGAAGACGTTACTGCTCTCTTTAAACACTGAGGTAAGTAAAACACAGAATGACATCAACATGAGCAGCAAACTCAATAAGACTAGCACTGTGCCCGAATCGGTTATTCACGGAGTTTTCCGAGTGATGTGTAAAGCAATCTTCACTCACTGGATGTTTTTCAGTTATGGTTGTCAGGTGTCATCCAACAAAACCAAATGACAAGTATGGTGCAGACAGCTTCAGAGAGATCGATGTAACTGTCAGTTTTTATTTGGTTTAACCGTTGAGAAAGATTGAGACGATGACTTTTTTGTTGTGCAGGACAGTGGGCTGACCTATGAGCCTGGCGATGCTGTGTCGATTGTCTGCCCCAACGACCCTCAGGAAGTTGACAAGCTGCTGGACAGGTAATATGGAGAAGTGTGCTGCAGAGTTGTGTCTCTTAGTCTTACTTATATCAGGAGCTGTCATGTTTGGGGCTTAGAGAAAGTCTCGGACACCTGGAATATGTACCGGTAGAGTTTTGTTTTGCTGGTATCAGTGTTGACATGTGTTTGTTGAATGATTTTTTCAGTTTTGGCATGATTCAGTTCCATGACCTGACGGTAATTAAATCTAGGCAACCTGTTCTTTAGGAAAAAAACTGACTCAGCTGTAGAACTGTCATCAAAGTATTTTCCTGGGAGGATTAACCACCAAAGAAAACTGGTAACATGCTGATTCTGAGGATGCCAGTGCGTGCCGATTGTAGTATGTAGATTAAGTACATCAAAAGTTTTGAACAATATTTGTAGCCACGTTGTTTATGGTGCACATGCTGTACTTATCTGTAATTGACCGTTACCATGTTATTTACGAACCGGCTGTTGATTTCTGTACATGATTTTGATTGGACCATGCCTGGACTCCTTAGTCCACACAAAACAAGATTCCAGGCTAGTTTGGCAGGGGCTGAAACAGGACTTTAATGTTCAGTTACCTCCCTTGCCTCAGGAAGCTGAAGAGTGTATTGAACTGCAAGATTATGTTGCTAAATAATTACAGCTCACAGCAATATTTCTGTACTAAAAATGCTATGGTTCAAAACATTTTGATAACCCCTTAGGCCAGTGTTTTTTAACCACAATTGTTTCGGTCAGCAGTTTTCTTTCATGTGTACATTGAAGTTTTCTTCTACTGGGTTCACATTTGAATCTATAGTTAAGATTTAGTTGACTTAGAATGTTTATGCTGGACCACTAATGTTGGTCACATTGGTCTGTAGCGCTGCCACATTACCTTGGATTGTTTTAGTTACAGTAATCTACGGTAATAACAAACCACTAATTTTAGTTTATTATGACCACAGTTTCTTATACCATTTGGACTGGAATATACAGCTTGTAGCCATGTCCAAACACTAACAGTTTGATATATACTTCCTTTCAAAAGTTTAGACTCACTTAAAACACTCACTGTATGTTATTGATATATATATGGTTTGATTTGTCCACTAACTTGGGGGAACCAATTGCAAACCTTATGCAGATGAATTGCAAGAGGATCATGCATTAACATAGGCGGATCCAGAAGGGGGGTGCAGGGGGGTGACCCCCCCACCCCACCCCACCCCACCCCACCCTGTCCTTTCTCAAAAAGCTGTATCCGCCCCTGATCAAATTGCTGAAAAGCATGTGCAAATATGGTGCAAATTTGTTAAGAATTCGCCAATTTTCACTGATGTTTATCATTTAGTGAACTCATGACAATAATCTTTTCAACGTTACAGATTTGTTTTACAATACATCAGTTCATGTGTAAACAGTACCGTTAAACAGTATTGAATCTTTTGCAAAATTTAATTTAGAACAGTTGCCTGAAGTAAGTGGCTATTTTTACACTAGTGAGTCTAAACCTTTGAAATGAGATATATGTGTGTCAGTAATTATAAGTGTGTTTATTATAAACATAGTTTACTGGATTAGAGTCAATGAAATGTCGGTTCACTGAATGTCAGATTTGATTAGAGTGAGATGCTAAGTTCTTAGACTTGGCAGAACTTCACAACAATATACCACAGAACAAATGGCATCTGCTAAAATATGTGCTTTACTGATGCCTTACTCAACGAGAGTGATACAAGGGGACGTAACTCGCATTGTAACATATGAGAGTGGTAGAGCACCTAACCTTATATTATCGTCAATATGCTACACCAGAAATGCCTGGTGTCACACAGATACAGATATCTCTAAACAGATACCCAAGTTATGGCTTACAGCTACCAACTGACTCAACTGTACAGTGATGTAAACTATTGTGTTGTTCTGTACACTCCTCTGTGTGTCATCTTTGTGTATAGATGACTTTGGCTTATTTTCAGACTTGGTCACACAAGTAATGCCGATACCACTATAGAGCTGAGTGTGGTTCCGGGTACAAAGAAGAAGAACGCTGCCGTTCCTCCTCACATTCCCCCAGTGTGTACCCTCAGACACATCTTCCTCACGTGTGTCGACATCCGTGATCAGCCCAAGAAGGTGAGACGCTGTCCACTGCCTACAGAGCCTCAAAGTCTCATTTAGTGTGTATCTTTACTCTGTTTCCTCTCATCGACAATTGTGCACTTTTGCTCATGCAAAAACATGCATGTTTAAATTCTCAATTGGCTTCTTACTATAACACCCTTCTCATTGTTCTACATTGGAAGTTGCTTGTATTTTCATTTTGTTCACACATGTGTAATTATCAGGCACTGTTGCGGATATTTGTGGAGTGTACAAGTGATGAAAGTGAACACCGCCGCCTACAGGAACTTTGCAGCAAACAAGGAGCAGGAGATTACTCTAGGTTCATCCGAGAGTCACGACTCTCTCTGCTGGATGTTCTTACAGCTTTCCCTTCTTGTCAGCCTCCAGTGGAGAGAGTGATAGGTGAGACATGGTTTCATCACAGTTGTTCTTGTCGATGTCTTGTAGAGATCCTGTGTCAAGAAACTTAAATTACTGTGGTTTGGGCAGGAGTAGTAAGAATATAATAGTTCTATTATGTTGTCTTTTTCCAGATATGTATATATGGGTACTGCAATGTTGTCCTGTCCCAGTTATATGCTGACTGATCTATTTCAGAGCAACTCCCTAGACTTCAGCCCAGGCCGTATTCAGTGTGCAGGTAGGTTAACAGTCATTAGCAGAACACTGTGTGTCATTATAGAGGCTTGCACGTTTATCACACCCTGGAAGTCAGTCTCCTGTATGAGTTACCTACCCTTGATCTTCCTCTTGCTTCAAGTCGCAACTTTGTTCAGATCTGTCTTGAGTTCTGTGGTATCCTTCATCAATTCGTGTTTATATAGTTATTCTACATAACGTTAGTATGTAAAATGGTTTCAGTACTGTCGCTAATAATGTTTTATGTTTACCTCTGTGTTAATTGTAGAATATTTTTTATCCCCCGCAACGCGTTTTGCGTGGGGTATTAAAATGGAATCTGTCTGTGTGTGCGTGCGTCCGTGCACATTTGTCTTTTCCGGAGCAGAACTTTAAAACCGTTCAATGTTTCTTCACCAAACTTGGCACATAGATAGATCTGGTGGTGTCCTGGTGCCTTTTGGTAGTTTTGGAATTCTGAATAAAATATTTTTGGCGTTTCCATGGCAACAAGTCCGACTTAGACTGAAATTGGTGGTAGTGCTTTTTTCCGTAGCAGAACTCTAAAACCGTTCAATGTTTCTTCACCAAACTTGGCACATACATACATCTGGGGGTGTACTGCTGCCTTTTGGTAGTTTTGGAATTCTGAATAAAATATTTTTCCATGGCAACAAGTTCAACTTAGACTGGAATTTGTGCTTGTGCTCTTTTCCGTAGCAGAACTCTAAAACCGTTCACTATGTCTTCACCAAACTTGGCACATAGATTGGTCAGGTGGTGTACTGGTGCCTTTTGGTAGTTTTGGATTTCTGAATAAAATATCTTTGCATTTCCATGCCAACAACTTTGACGTAGACTGAAACTGGTGGTAGTGCTCCTTTCTGGAGCAGAACTTTTAAAACCTTTAAATACTCTCCTTCCACTTTTCTATATACACACCAAAACATTTGGCATAATCATAACTCGTAGACATATGCATGAAGAGTATTTTGCCATTGCGGGGGATATTGATGACTTTGTCTTCTTGTTTATTTCAATTTTGGCCTAGCGTGCAATTACTCATCACAACTAGCGGCAGCTAGAGGTACAACATGTGCTTGTTACTAGGGTTGACTATTGAGGGGGAAACAACTATTGTGATAGCGATAGTCTATTGCGACCAACTATTGCAATACTATAATTGCAATAGTTTTTTCTCTCCTTGAATTGTCTCATTTGAAGTCATTTCCCAAATGAATGTATAGTTTATATGAAATAAAAACAAGCTGAAGTAGCTTCAGTCTCTTTTAGAAACTGACAAGAAACTTGAAACCCAGTTCAAGTTTGTTTAAGAGGTAACAGGGGCGGATAACTATAAATAAAAAAAATGAATCTGGTACTTCCTGTGTTTTGTGCTGCGCATTTATCAACAGAAGTTAATTACTAAACTATCGATAGTCACACATACTATCGATGCATCAATTGTTTTTCGGGTCTTCAATCGATTAATTGCTATCGGAGACTCAACAATTGCAGTCATCGATAGTTCAATGCATCGTTACACCCTACTTGTTACTATATAGCGGAAATACTACCAACATCAAACTGATGTTAACTCACTGACACAACAGTATAGTGCTTAGTATTTCTAATATTAATAGCAACTCAAAGATTAGTCTCAGTATCCAAATCTGTTACTTCCAAATAGTTTGTACAATCCAAAGAAATGCATAGGTTTGTTCTGCAGATACAAACTATGTTTGGTTTCCAGTTCTCCTCAGACCCATCCCAACAGACTCAGCATCGCCTTCAACATTGTGTGCATCCCTGCCACAGATGGAAGATCAGCTCCCAGGAAGGGGGTGTGCACTGGTTGGCTGGATACTGTCACCATGACAACACAAATCCAAGATGGTTGTCAGGAGAAGGAGGGCAATAACCTTAAGGTAACAAATCTGTTTCATTTCGTCTTTTGATTGGGCAATGTTAATTCTAAAGAATAATTTATAAAAGTAATAATGAATATTGGGATATGATTAAAAATACATAAACTTGTGAGGAACATGTCATCCGTCTTGTTTGATATCAATATTTGAAATTCAGGGTAACATTAAATATTCATTGGTTGCAGATACCCATATTTACACGTACCAATCAACATTTCCGGTGCCCAGAAGACATTTCTGTGCCCATCATTCTGATTGGTCCAGGGACAGGTGTTGCGCCATTCATTGGCTTCCTCCAGCATAGAGCATGGCAGAGGAGCCAATCAGAAGCAGACAAGTCATATGGCCAGACATGCCTGTTCTATGGGTGTCGACATCAAGACAGAGATTACCTCTTCAGGTATTTCAGATGTTATTTACAGGAAGGAAGATGCACTGTACATCTGTATTGACCAATGTTGAACTGAGAGCCTCAGTCAGAAATGAGAATTTTTTTTCAAGTTCTGTCTAATTGTTATAGTGTAACAAGATCACAAGGATATGTAGTTTGATTTCAGAAATCACATAAAATTCTGACCTGCTTGTGAAATTGTTGCTATATCAAATCTGAATTTGCAAGAATCTACAAAATGCTGGATGACAAGGTTGCCACCAGTGTCAATACCTTTTCAAACCTTGGATATGGAAGCGTTTTTTTCATATGTCCCAAGTTTTTAGCGAACTTTCGTGTAAAATTATGCTGTGATATGGTAGATTAAGTTTTTCAGTGTGTGGCCCTGTGATGTGAGTAAGTGAGTATTGTTTTAAGCTGCTTTTAGCAATATTCCAGCAATATCACGGCGGGGGACACCGGAAGTGGGCTTCACACATTGTACCCATTTGGGGAATCGAAGGCCCTGTGATGTACTGTGTACAGTTGTGACTTTATTCTTTGGTCATTCAGAGCCAGACCCATACTCATGTGTTTCAGGAAAGTGTTAAACATCGGAGTCCTGCTTTGATTCAGACTTTCCTCCCACATTTAGCACGCTGTAATGTAACTGAAACACTGTTAAAAAGGGGATAATACCAAACTGACTCAGTCATTGGTCAAAGACGACTATTGCCAAAAAATATCCAAGTATGTTTCAGAATTCAAAAATAATCACATCATTTTTACCCACAAGTTATTTTAGAAAGTGAGTGTGGTGACTGAATTTCAAAGTTAGGAATATCACATGCTATTTACAAGTTCAGAACATGTAGCTCTACTTTTGGTGTATTTCAGGAAAGAGTTACAGGAATTTCAAGAATCAGGAGTCCTGAGTCATTTGTTTGTCAGCTTCTCCAGGGACATCCAGCCAGAAGGCTCTCCCAGATATGTCCAAGACCAGCTGCTCAAGCAAGGGGAGCTAACTCTAGATCTGATAGAGAAACAGGATGCTGTTGTGTATGTATGCGGTGATGCTCGCAACATGGCCAAAGACGTAACAAATACCTTTGTACAGATCCTGAAGGAATATAGGGGGTAAGTTTTAGAATATCATATTGTCTTAAGAATGTCACTTACTCAGAATATATACCCGTTATATACTGACATAAGCAATTTGCTGTGCAGAGTTGCATCCCTTGGGCATGCCAGAAACCTCAGGTTCAAATCCTGATTGCCTGGATTATGTTTCTCATTTGATCACTACTTCCATGCTTGTCTTGTTTCACCAAAGTGGTAAATAGGCATGCACTATATGCAAGTGATCGAAACTAATTGAATGGCAATAAACAGCAGCTCACTGACAGCAGTAGAGGACTATGAAGATGAGCACAAGAAGTGAAGATGTGTTGCAGGTATGAGTGCCGCTGATGCCTCAGGATACCTAATGAAGATGAGATTACACAAGAAGTATCTAGAAGATGTGTGGACATAGACAGGTAGACAGACACACAGAAGATGCTTGGACATAGACAGGTAGACAGACACACACAAGATGCTTGGACATAGACAGGTAGACAGACACACACAAGATGCTTGGACATAGACAGGTAGACAGACACACAGCTGATGCTTGGACATAGACAGGTAGACAGACACACACAAGATGCTATGGCACAAGTAGTATAAAGAAATTGTGAGGAAATACAGAAGAAGACAGGGGCTATATATACACAGACGGCCCATGCAGGATTAAACTCCTTGTAGAACCTTACACACAGTTGTGTGGGCAGTGTTTTATGTCATTACAGGGCTCTTTTACATGCCAGTGTTTTATGATGCAAACTTGAAGTTTGGGCTGGATCGCAAGAAACTTTGGTTGGGTTGGGTTATGTTGGTTTGTTCACACTAAGGGCATTTAGTTCCCTAAATGTGACATCCACCAAGTCTGAAGATTGCATGACTGGTAAGTGACTGGTGCAGAATTGAACCAACCTGCTGTTGTGAATATTACAAGCTTGTGTTTCTCTTGTGTTGTGAGAGGTTATTAATTGTTGTTCAGCTGAAGTAGGGAGTCACTGTCGAGGATCACATTTTCTTCTTGCTTATTTGTCGGGTTTATTGAGGAGAATAAGCTTTACACTTCCTTGAGAATGATTCTCACATTTTTCGTTTACCCCCTGTGGCATCTGTAAACATCTTCCCAGAAACTACATTATAATTAATCTGACACCTTCACATGCTCATTCCCACAAAAAAAGACACTGTCATTTACATTTGATCTGTATTTTGTAACCTTTTCATTTTTACCATACTCCAAAATTCTACAAAAGTGCGCTCAAGGCTTTGTAAACATCACCTGCGAAAACAATGGAACAATGAAGCTGAAATCTTTACATTTGTTCCTTAGATGACAGCTGATGATAGTAAGATCATGTGTTTGTTAATGTTTCACGGTTTTCTACATATCTATGTGAACTGATGCACTATGATCTATTTTGGGGTCTACAGATCAACCCATCATTGCTTTTAGCTACTACCTATTTGATCCAGAATATTGGAACCTCTTTTTCCACCTTCTTTCATCAGTGGACATAAAAATTAGAAACAAAGAACTAGCAGCTACTGTGGTTAAAGCCAACTTGAAGGAACCTGCCATCTTCCTAATAAGTTTGTTTGATTATGTGTGTGATTCACCCTCAAAACTTCTAGAGCTTAATGATTGTGTTTGTTATTCCTGACATTTGGAAGTATTTTATTTGTTGTATCAGAGTACACTGCAACTGTTAATATTTCTATCTATAATTGACTTGTATTTTATTTCTACACAATGACCAGCAATTATGCAGAGCCATATATTTGGTTAAATGTATTTTTAGAAGGATCTTATATTTGTGTGGCCTTTACTATGCTCACATTATGCCTTCTACACCGTTTCTATGTTGATCTTTGGGATAAATCTTTTAGCAATTTAATTCACAGATTGTATATTTTATTGTATATTTCCACCCTGCTGCAAGGCTAGTGCATGGAGCTGTGGCCACACTTCCCCAGCAGGGAGATTGTGAATAGTCTACCTGGAAATTAAGTGCATGGTGTGATGTTGTATGTTGCAAGTTTGTACAGGAGCTTTCAAAGATCAGGATCATGGCTGTGAAATGAATTATGAAATTCAATAAATATGATTTGAATGCTCTACTTTCTTTTTCATTTAATCTGTGAAAAGTTTGAAACAATAATGAAAAAGAGGTGCACATTTCAATGCCAATGTTCAGATCCTATGTCAACAGATATGGTATGTATTATGTTTCCAAACCATTGGGCATGTTTTGTTCTGCTAAAAAACGTAACTCTATATATAACTGATGGAAGTGATGTCTGGCTAATGAAGGATGTGGGAACCTAAGACAGACAAAAAACACTTAAACCAAACACAAACATAAATGAACCAGCTTTATAAGCGATGCGCTTGAAGCATTATTCAGTTACGTCCAAACTCTTTATCTGGCATTGATTTTGCAAGTTGATACTTTGCCCATTACATTGTTCACCATAACACATTGATCAGAGCATTACCGTTGTGCTATGTCTGTCAAGCAGAGAGACTGATAAAGCAATCGGAATGCTTTAGGCTGGAGGATCCGAAACAGGATGTTGCTTGGCACTTTGTTGGCATAACATCATTTCAGCCCATGGCCATCAACAGCTTCATGACGTCATCGACCAATCACCATCTAGAAATCCAAGAGTTGGATACAGCTGTCTCACTAATATTACCAGAAGCAAATGCACAGTTTTTTCAAAGTCATCGGTACCGCCTCTGTGGTGTAGTGGTTAGAGCGTCCGCCAGGAGAGTGGAAGGTTGCGGGTTTGATCCCAGGCAGCGTCATTCCAAAAGATGTTAAAATATGGTACTTGTTGGTCCCTGCCTGGCGCATACTTTGAATTTTTTTAAAGGATTGACCAGGGTCCAAAAATGCCCCAAAAACAGGTTTCAACCGAAAACGCTCTATAAAAAATTTGACAAATACAATTGCATTATTTTAAAATTTTCAATATATTCACATAAACTACATTGATAGATAAGAAAAACAACGAATTATCTGTTCAATTTTTAATTTCAAATGATATATCTTCCTTCTTGGTAAAACCGGGTCGGTGGGGTAGCCTAATGGTTAAAGCGTTGGCTCGTCACGCCGAAGACCCGGGTTCGAATCCCCACATGGGCACAATGTGTGAAGCCCACTTCTGGTGTCCCCCGCCGTGATATTGCTGGAATATTGCTAAAAGCAGCGTAAAACCAAACTCAGTCAGTCAGTCAGTCTTGGTAAAACCAATGAATTTATTTATGTTATTGAATTTTCTGTACCTTTTGACAGCAATGTGATTGGCAAGATTCACGCAAAAAGCATGCTAAATATGCGGATATCGGCTTTGTAATGTCTTGCTTTCATCCCAAGTATACTGTCATCAGCCTCCCTATTATTCTCAGTGCCCTTGGTTTGGTACCTTCTGATCTCTTGGTGCAGATCAGGAGAATGCCCGATTCTCAACCGGGAGCGGGGAGTCTACATATTCTCCAGAAAGTTCTTGGTGGGTTCAACTAGGCAGCGTTTGCTGGGAGAAGTCCCATTCGCTGTCTGGGCTTATTTATAAGAAAAAGTAATTCAGAATAGCTAGTCAAAGGCTTGCTTGAAGAGGTGTGTCTTTAAGAAAGTCTTAAATAAGGTTTGTAAGAGACAGGTCTTATAGGAAGAGGTGGATCGTTCCACAGTAGAGGAGCTGAGGCAGAGAAAGCTCTATCACCCATTGATGATTTCATGATTGGGACTGATAGGCGAAGATGGTCGAGAGAACGGGTTGGTTGGTATATCCTGACAAGGCTTCTGAGATAGTGACGTTATGATTGATCATAGACACAGTTTGGGCTAGAAGAAATATCTTGTACTGAATCATGAAATTCACGGGCAGCCATTGGAGGGCCTTCGGGATAGGAGATATATGCTCAGTTTGCGGCATGCGCGTTGCAACCCTTGCTGCTGCATTCTGGATTCGCTGTAACTTTTTGATCAGGGATAAAGGAATGTGGAAGAAAAGGGAGTTACAATAATCCAGTCGTGATGTGATGAGAGTCTGCATAAGACGTTTTGTCGTTTCATTGTCAAGACGATTAGAGGATTTTACTGATGTTGTGAATGTGGAAGAAGCACGTTTTGCCTAAGTTCTTGACTTTTTCAAGGGACATGATGGATTTAAATATGATTCCAAGATTTCTTGCAGATGGAGTGGTTTCGACATTGCTGTAGCCAATGTTAAGCAACAGACCTGCAGGCACTTTCAAGAACTTCTGTTTGGAACCAAGTACAACATGATTCAATGTCATTGGAAAACTGTCTAATATCTATATTTCAAGTCTTGTAGCTAATTTCTTTTCTCACTTGCTTAGATTTAGTATGTTTGACAGAGCACTGAATATGTGAATGATCAGATATCTGTTTGTCACTAACATCAACGACATCCAGAATATCACAACTATCCTTGGTTATGACTAGGTCTAGTGTATGACCTGATCGATGAGTTGGACCAGACACGTGCTGTAGGAGACTGAAAGATGTCACAGAATGATTTAGCAACAGACAGAGAATCAACATGGATATTGAAATCCCATATTAGAGTGAGTGAGTGAGTATGGTTTTACGCCAGGTTTAGCAACATTCAAGCAATATCACGGCAGGGGACACCAGAAAAGTGTTTCACACATTGTACCCATGTTGGGAATCGAACCCAGGTCTTCGGCGTGACGAGCGAAAGCATTAACCACTAGGCTACCCCACCGCCCCAAATTTCCTATTAGAACCAGATGACCTGGTTCAAGGGCAGTTTTGACAAGGCTGGACTAACATTTGGGAACACTTGCCACATGATTTTGGTCGCTGAAATTTTGGGAAGAAAACCCATTCCAGCTGCGTTATATACTCATCATCGTAATTTATGTGATTGTTAACAACCATTTCATTACCTAGCTCTTCCCGGAACATTCCTGCATCATCGATTTATGTGTTAAAGAAAGTTTTGTTCACAAAATTTCAAAGAAATAAAAGATAGTTTTTAAACTTATCCCATCTCATGACTTGCACCTCTCTCTCTCACTTCGACTTTTAGTGGAACGACTGTAAACTTTTTTCCATAGGCCTCCTTGTCCATTCGCCAGTGCACTCCATGCTGCTCTCCTTAATTAGCTTCCTAGTTCCTAATGAAGCTTGCAGCATGCTCCACTAATTGCCCATGTGACTACCTTGAATGATCATCTCTTTCTTGTCGCACGACTGTGTGGACGTGCTGTATATTAGGGACATTATTTCACCCTAACATCATTGGGAAAACAGATAATCAGTCAAGGAAAAGGAAAGTTTGTGCTCAATGCAAGACGAATTATTCAGATTAATCAGATCACCTTATAGATCCAGATCACGATCAGTTTCCAGTTAGTGCATCGAATCGATCCAGATCACTTTACAAATCTAGATCATCTTACCGACCCAGGTCACCTATACGATCTAGATCACCTTACAGAGCCATTGACCACTTGGGATCACAGTACAGATCCACATCTCATGACCGATCCTATTCAGATGGTCAAACCAGAGCTCCAATCAGAACCAGATCACCAACTAGAACTACAGCGTCCCGGACTAGTTCTTCATATCATACCGGATCTACTAGCCATACTAGATCACCGGCTTACCAACCTTCTTCGGTACTTACCACGTCGAGATCTCGACACAGTTCCTCTGACCGACGTTCGGGTGATCATTGCTCTGATACCACTAATAGGCCTACAGTCTCTTACGATGTTCCGCCTACACGCTCTGAGAATCCTTCGACCCACTCTGGGATCATCGCTGAGTCATGGGAACCTGATCACACCCCCACTCCTACAGTGACTTCGGATCTAAATATGATGATCAGGGCCATAACCTCAGCCTGGAACCAAATACAGCCTTCAACTCCAGCCCATCTGGCTTCGGTAGCACCTGGCTCTTCATCTGGTCCACCTCCTGAGATTGATCCAGTCCAAATAGTCATGCCTGCATCTCTCGCTCACTCTGAGTTATCTACCCCTCGGGGTAGCTTTGCAGCAGTTGAGACAGCTCAGGTACTCGTTTGGATTGTTGAGAAGCTCCAACCTCCCTTGAGTACTTCAGCAGATGACCTGGATCACTCTTATACTCTTAGGAACTGGGATTGGTCTACCATCATCCTACCACCTCGACCTTGTATTCTGAAATTATCCAGTACACTATATGATGGTTTCAAGAGCCTGAAACGAATTAAGGACGGATTCTCTGCTCCCAGATATAATCCTTCTACCTCTCATGTCCACGGCCTAACAAAAATCTCCACGGCTCCAACAGTTGATGAGGCCATTGGAACCTTGTGTGGCAAACGAGCTGCTTCGCCCTACCTTATTGAGGATCGAGTGTTGGCTCACATGGATTCAGCCATGAGAAAGACGTTGCCATCTATTAGTTGCGTGATTGCAGCAGTCGACGCTGTCAACTCTGCTCTGGAGCATACTTACACTGATCAAGACGCTCACATCCGAGGATGCATGACCTTAGCTCTGGACCAGTTCCAAATTATCCTGGATCAGTTGTCTCATTTTTTGGGCTACACTCTTGCTGTTCGCCGCCGTGGACTCTTAACATCTCTTCATGGGAGGAGCGATTTAAAACAGAACTGTTTCGCCTGCCATGGCTTACTGACTCCCTCTTCAATGGCAGCATCCAAGAAGTATCTACTAAAGTTGATAAAGAAACCCACTTTCAAGTCTCGATTGAACTGTTAAAGAAACAGAAGTCACAGCTCCAGGACTCATTAAAACAGCGTCGACTGCACAGTTCACCCCTACCAATCCGGATTTACACAATCTTTTTCCGTGGGCATCCACTCAAGGCCGTGGCAGAGGAAATAGATCTGGCCGTGGTGGTTCCTCCCGTCAAACTCTGGCTCATTTTCAATATGAAGTTGTTCAATGCCCAATTCCTGCTTCCACTGCCTCACTTCAGGATGGTGTTGATCAACCTCTTACGCACCATCCTGAAGAAGGGAGACTTCCTAATCAGCCTAGATCTTCAGAATGCTTATCTTCACGCTCCAATACATCCAGAACACCGGAAGTACCTTCGCCTCGTTTT